CAACCTCCGATATGTAGATGATACAACATTGTTCACGGAAAGCAAGGAGGCTCTGGAGTGACTAAACCTGAAAGCCAAAGATGAAAGAGAAAAATTTGGACTGCACCTTAACATCAAGAAAACAAAGATAGTGACCATTGCAGAGAATACACAGGTATTCTTATGGCTATGAAACTTGAACTCTGAAAAGGTCAGATAGGACATAGGCGGATAACTTTGAACTGTGGTGCTGGAAGTGATTACTACACATCCCATGGACTGCAAAAGTAACAAAGAAGCTCTAGAGCAAATGTCGCCAAAACTACCACTTGAAGCCAAGATAGCCAAACCGGCTGTCATACTTTGGTCATGTCATGATAGCAGGACCTAAAAGGTCAAACACGCTGGGAATGATCAGCGAAAAAAGGAGAAAGGTACCCTAGTACCTGCTGGCTGGACACTACAAAGAATGACACCGGGATGACTATGGCAGATCTGAAGGAGGCAGTGAAAGACCAAGAGGCACAGAGAGTGCTGAGCCATAGAATGGCCGACGGTCAAACAAATGGCTGCTGCTGCTGCTGCTGCTGATTTCTGTATTACATCAATACAAAATCTGGAACACATTTACTTACATCTATTTCCCATCTAGAACGCGCCATAAAATCCATTGTCAAAGTCTACAGCCAAGTTCTCTGATGCAACTCTTCTGCACTAAGTCAAGGCTCAACTGAAGTTTACTGAATAACTGATAGCAGGCTGAAGTCACTCAAAACACTGGGCAAGCCAAAACAAAGCACATTATGGCTTAACAAAAGCTGTACGCATGACACCAGTGGGAGTATTTGCATGACATGCTCAGTTACATCTGGTGTTAGATTATTTAACGTAACTTAGTTAACTTAAGTTAGATATTTATGTATTCATAATATTTAATCTGGCTGTCCAACTTAAATAGTTTGGCTTTGGGCAATGTACAAGAAAAAACATCCACAACAAATGCAACACAGAGAGAACAAAACACTACTAAAGAGAATAAAATCCAACTAAAACAGTAAAATTGTAACCAGACTAAAATATATTGTAACTCATCCAGGTGGGTCTCCACTCAATCTGATCCAAAGGCCTGGGGAAAGAACCATAACTATCTGTGCCATTATGTTCTGGACCACCTGAAGCTTCTGGATGGTCTTCAAGGGCAGCCCCACGTAGAGTGCATTCCAAAACAGGTAATCCTTGGTTAACTATAGTAATTTGGACCAGAATTACCCAAGCTACTGCCTTCTCCCAGTGGTTTCTACCGCTCCAATTCAGTCCTGTAGGCTGGGCATCCTAAGGGTTTCATCAGGTAAGGAATGTTGGCTAGCAGCAGTTTGAGAGGCCTGTGCTAAGTCATGCCCAACTCTTCATGACCCCATGGACCATAGCACTTCAGGCCCTCCTGTCCTCCACTGAGCCTACCCAAACTCATGCCCACTGTGTCAATAACACTGTCTAATCCTGGGTGCCCATACAAATTGAATTAATAAATAAATTTCCATCACTAAGTGATGTGGTCATACGGGGCAATGTCATTTCATTACATTGTTTAGTGATGGCAATCTGTCCCAGTTGCCATTGTTAATCAAATCCCACCTACTCATTAGGTGAAGAGCCCTCCTAATTCAAGCTATCCCTGGCTTGGTCCCTCCTACCACAGTCCCAAGCCTCAGTAAGGTAAGGATCTGTCTTCTCTTCAGCTCCCACTCCCACCAGTTATCTCCCCCATCACTACTCTTTGGGAAGCCCTGAACTCCACTGGATGTGCCACCCTGCTGGCTCTTTCACCCATAGCTGATCGATCAATCAATCGATCAATCAATTAGAATAGAACTCAAAGGGACCTTGGAGGTCTTCTATTCCAACCCACTGCTCAAGGAGGAAACCCTATATCATTTCAGATAAGTGGCTGTCCAGTCTTTTCTTTAAAAACCTAGAAAAATTAAAACCCCCAAAAAAGTTTTTAAAAAACCTGAAAAGTTAAAAAACTGAAAAAAGAAAACTTATTAAAAAATGTTTCCTTGTTCCTTTCACAAATTGCACACGGAATCGAAACATGGTCCTGCAACTCTACTCAAGAGTCCAGGATGAAGTTTCCCCAGTTCCAGGACTCATAGAGTCAAGCCTGTTTTTCTTCATCCAGACCCTCACAGCCTCCAGGCACTGAGTGGTCTCTGACAACTTCATATGAACAGCCAGGAACAGAAATATATAGCTGAGTATCATCACCATATGATCCCAATAGATCACCTTTCCCAGTGATTTCATGTATACACTGAAAAGGCGAGGGGAGAGCTCTGAGATACTCTGCAAAGCAGGGGAGTAGGACAATTTCCAGCCAGGCAACTTCAGACAACAGAGCAAACCTGTTTGCAACAAGGTGTAATACATTGGTTGTTATATAAATAATATCCACGATAGATATTGGCCTAATACATTGGTTGTTATATAAATAATATCCACGATAGATATTGGCCTATCAAAAAACAGGCTTCCTTTTTCCACAACATAAATACAGGAGGAAAAGAAAAAGCTAACTGCATTTTATATTTAAAGTTCATATTTGAAAAGCAAAGTCCTGGTCAGAATTCTTGGGCTGTCATTTTAAATTAATGTCACTATAAAACTTACTAACTGAAGCTGTACTTGTTTCTGATGTTCACTTCCAATCCTGAGTGCTGCTAAAGAGATCGGACAAATTATTGTGGGGATAACTTTGTAAGCCACTTTTTAAAATGAAAAATATAAATATGGAATATGGAATTTACACTCTTGAATATTTACCATACAGTTTGGAGCTCACAGTACAGTAGTATATTATTAAGAAGTTTTCTTTCTCTACTGCAATAGAGGTTTAGTCATTTTTGGAGTTAATTGTATCACCATTCAGCTATAAGGTCACAGCACAAATTCACATTAAACCAAAATTAAATAAACTGTAACAGCATTCCATGTTTTGCAGGCAGATTTATTCAATGAACTGTATTTTAAACATATCATGCTCTAATGTTGATGTGTCAATCACATTCTGTCATCTTGTCAGAATCTATATTAGTTTTAATGATGTGACGTATGATTCAGCTGGAAAATCTCAGTAACAACCATACAATATCCTTTCATCCCTCTTTGTCGTATTACTGAAACTCTAAATAGACCAAGATTTTTTTGGGGGGGGGGGGGAAATGATCCTTAATTGAAAGTTCTAAGAATGTTGTAATTAAAAACTATGAGGGAGGAAGAGGAACCAGATTCACTTAATGACTGTGTGATTCATTTAATGACAGTGACAAAAAAGGACTATAAATTAGGTCACAACTCATTGTACAACCTCATTGCTTAAAGACATAGGTTCCAGTCTCAATTATGATTGCAAGTCAAGGACTACCTGAGGTGGAGCATCCCACAGAAACAACTAATTGGCTTGTGCAAGATATCTGTAGAGATTATGGAAAGATTGCTGAAAATCCCCTTAAGGGTTTCTAGGCAAATATAGGCCATTAGAGAGCAAGAAAATTTTGTCTTCTGGGTAAAGATATATCTGAAGTTTGACAAGTACAACATTATGAAATAGCCTAACTTTCAAATCTTTAGTATGACAAGCAAAGAGTTGCAGTAGATTTTTTTTAAAGGTTTTTAGAGCCAATTAGCTGTTTTTATGGGATTCTTAAAGTTAGAAAAAAGTGTGGCTGAGGTATGCCACACATTTTTTGTCATTTCAGTTAACATCCTATCAATGGATCCAAGCAGATATAAATGGGTAACTAAGCCTTTCTTCTGAATCTTCTTAGCTATACAATTTGGGATGAGCACTCTTTAAATAGTGTGAGAGTAGGAATGGATTTCCAGAGGAAAAACTGCAGACTACTGGGACCAGGAGCACTACTCAGGTGATCCTGGGGATATAGATAAACCTCCAAGTGTTTCAATGACCCTCTAAAAGGATGCAAATGACCAGCTGTCGGCAAGGAATATAAATCTTTCCATTCCCCACTATGCTGTCAGAGCTGAAGAAGCTTCTTGGATGAGAAGCGAAACATCTTCAAAAGAAAAATCAAGAAAGTCCAGTTGTCTTTTGAAAAAAGCACCTTTTGGGTTCTTCTTCTGAGCTAGATATAGCAGATAGATTATGAACATATGCTTAACTTTTATTTTTTTATTTGGTGTCTTCAAGTCAGGGCCGACTCCTACAATTGCAGTTTTCTTGGCAAGCCTTAACTTTACACATTCTCCAACATTCAGGATGCACGTGGCTTACAAATATACACCAATGTTTATACCCCCACATTGTCTGTCTATTTCCCAATGCTAATTCTACTATATTCATATTGGACGTGCTACAGAAACATTCTGCACAAGAGAAAATATACACCACACACCGGAGTCCTGGGAAAGAAAGCAAAGGGGGATCTTGCGCTGGATGTAACGGGAACAGCTTGCCCTGGGAAGTTGTGGGAGCATCATCACTTGAGACTTTCAAGAAAAGATTGGCCATTTGTCAGAAATGGTGTAGGGTCTCTCTCTTGGGCAGAGGGTTGGACTAGATGACCTACAAGGTCCCTTCCAACTCTGATTATCTGTTATCTGTTAAAGGCAAATTTGGGGGTGGGGGGGACTTACAGATGTATGGGACAGAAGAGTTACAAAGGAAGGGCTTGAAAACAACAGCATGTATGCAGAAAGCAGGAATAGGACGGAAGGTAAAGGAAGAAACCGGCTTTGTACCACAAAAAAAAAAGAGAATATTATGGATTAGCGCCATATCTATTCCCATAAAGTGGGAATAGATTGAAAAGGCAGCTTTCCGCGCTCTGGAGCTAGGCAAGAAGAGATCCTTCTTCTCCTCTAGCTGTTTGGCTTTCTATGACTTCCAACCGGGCTGGAAACTCGGCCCCGCTCCCCTTTGCCTCCATCCGCCCACTGCCCGAAAGACGTAAACACTCCCGTCATTGGGAATTCCCCCCCCCCCCCCGCCTTCCCTCCCGTCGGGCCCCCCCCGGGGGGGGGCAGACGCACCTCCTGCCTAAGGGCTCCGGAGTGAGCGAGACCAACGCCGGGCCGCGGGGGAGACAGCCAGGAAACGTTCCGCCCAACCGGGCAAAGCGAAATGCCGGAGCTCAGCCCTTGACTCCGCCCACTCTGGGCTCGTCCCACCTCCTCCTCCTCCTCCACCACCACCTGTCATCCAACGCAGCGTGCCTACGTCACGGGAGCGCTTTCCTCGCCTCCTGGAAGGGTTTCCCTTTTGCCTCAGAGTTCGCGGGTGGGGTGGGAGGGCGGTGGGCGTGGCTTCTTGTGCAACGTTATGAAGGTCGCCTGAAGACTTTCATGAATTGCTGTTAAGAACTAGAGTCAGGCTTCCTAAAGCGGTATAGAATCCTAAGGATTTAATTCTGGACGTTACAAAGCCGAGAGCCCAGTTTGGAGAGAAGTTTGACATGAGAAGACATAGAAAGCAAGCAAGCCAGCCAGCCGTGTACTTGAGGAGTCTCCGGGTTATTTCAATAAACCTCACTTGCAAGAGCTTGTCTGAATGTACAATCCTGCATGAAATGTAAAGTTCTATGGCAGCAAACCTCGATGACGTCATCACACGAATGCTGTTGTTAACATACTGGCGTGAATTCTCGCCTTGGTAGGGATGCAAATCGGGGCAATCTGTCAAGCTGCATGCTTCTGCAGATGTCAATCATAGCAATAGCAATAGCACTTAGACTTATATACCGCTTTACAGTGGTTTACAGAGTCAGCGTATTGGCCCCAACAATCTCTGTCCTCATTCTACCCATCTCGAAAGGATGGAAGGCTGAGTCAACCTTGAGTCTGGTGAGATTTGAACTGCCAAATTGCAGACAGACAGCAATCAGCAGAAGTCGCTTGCAGTAATGCACTCTAACCACTGCGCCACTGCAGCTCATGTCCTTCTGCAGATGTCAATTATTCACCCTGATTAGTGTCATCAAAGTAATGGGCAGGACGTTGGGTAGACTTGGGGTAACAGTTGGAGTGGGGGAAGGTCACACCTGGAATCGTGAAGAGTTGGATATGACTTGGCAGCAACTATTCTTTACTCAGAGGAGTGAAGCTGTAAGGACAAATCAAAGTGAAACTTAGTCAAAATCCAATAGAATAAATAAAACTTAATACAGGTAGTCCTCAACTTACAACAGTTCATTTAGTGATGGGTTCAAATTTACAACTTCATTGAAAAAAGTGACATGACCGTTTTTCACACTTAGAATCATTTTTAGCATCCCTGTTTACATGATTTACATTTGAATATTGGACAACTTGACTCACATTTATGACAATTGCAGTGTCCAGGAGTTATGTAATTGCTTTTTGTGACCTGACAAGCAAATGAGGAAACCAGATTAACTTAACAACCATGTTATTTAATAACTACAGTGATTCACTTAACAAATGTAGCAAGAAAAATGTGGCAACACTCACTTAACATAAATTTTGAGTTCAATTGTGGTCATAAATTGAGGACTACCTTGGTGACCTTACGGCACTTTTGTGTCACTAAATAGCCAAATTTGGCCATGGAAGAGGTGATTTTAGGATTTCTATTAGCACCAAAGCAGTTAGCATAAAATTATTTAGTACAGCCAGGGAAATGTTTCAGTTATGATGGGATAGCTATGGCTTAAATAGAAATAAAAGGAAAAATGATACAGTGCCCGGACTCAGCCATACCAATCTACATGGGCATTCTAACACTGTTGATTTTTGCTTAAAATGAGCCCTCTGGGATGCCTGAAAAGAGAGATTAAAATAAACTCTGGAAAAGGCCCATCTATAAATTGAATTAAGTGAAAGAACGCAACTAGTTTGCAAGTGCAGCTCTTTCTATTTCTGGCCGTGAGAAAACAGTTGGAGGATACTACAGTTGGGATTTTGTACAGATTCCCATTAGTACTCAAACAACAACAAAACAAAGAAAATGTTCTGCAGTCAACAAACACGTTGAAACACCCAGCGTACATTTGTAATTGTAGAATAAATCTTAGATGTGTCAAATTCAAATTCTAAAAACTATTTATAGATTTAACTTCAGGAAAATACAAATGAATTCATCCACTGCCTAGTTCAGAGTGTTATAAAGCCCGTGAAAATATGGACAGGTCCATACATTTCCTGTTCTTGGTTCACTCAATTGCCTGAGTAGGACTACTCATTTATTGCTGGTATCAGACACTATTCCTTTGACAGTAATTATACCTATAACAATTGCTTTGTTATCATGAACAGTCAAAAAGGCCAATATTTTTGGCCATCAGTCTTCTGCTTAAACACATTGTTTTCTCTTGTCTTTTCACTTGGCAGTTCAGGTGCAGAATTTAATTTACCTTATTTTGCTAAATGTTCTATTTCACACTTCCCCTTAGTCCTTATTAAAATTTCTGGCTGTTAAAAGCATTGTTCAAGTTTTGGACAACTCTGGGTGTTTGGTCCAAAGCCTAATTATTTTGGGGAATTAAAAAACATGGCCAGCTTTCCTTTAAACTCATTATTGCAAAAAGAAGGTAAGACCAGGCTTGAGACTGATTTCATTATGAGGTACAAAGTATTTTGAGAGGAAAAGAAAGAACATTTTGAGTTTACAATTCCTTTCCATCATATTCCATACACATAAGTTCCTGTTTATATATCTCATTCTTATTGGTATTTGTTAAAACAACAGGAACTTTTTGAATGTTGAATAAGAATAGTACCATTCAAATGGTATTATAAACAGATTTATCTCCAGTCCCAGATTTGAATTCTGTATCTAATCATGTAGATATTATTGGGGGGAAAATCCTTCTGGGTTCAGTTCCAAGTGGGGAAAAACACAGTGGAAACATGGAGGCTGTTTGGAAGGTTTAATTGTGGACAAGGACCACATGGCCTGGAGCGCCAGAGTGAAAAGGAAGAATGATCACATGCTTCAAGGTGAAGGAAGAGATCAAGAAAAAGGGCTGAGGTGCTGAGAGTGCCTGGGTTTTATAACCTTTGTTGGGATTTGAATTGGAGCTTGTATTCTGATTGGTTGTCAGACTCCCATGGGGCCATGCAGGGGCAATTCTGTAGGCTGTCCTGTGTTCCAGGCTTGGTTGAGCCTTGCTGGATGATGCACTGAAAGGGCTTTGGGCAATTGTTATAGTTTTACCTGGAGATCTTTGTTATGTAAAGTTCTGGCCCAGGCCTTAATGGCTCACCCATTAACAAAGGTGGGGGTGAGTTTCTGCTTCTGAGTTTCTACTCTTTTTAGGGGAAATATTCTGCCTTTTTAATATTTCCTAGGATCTTTCAATTTTCTAGGGGAGGGGTGGGTGCTAACTTCCTACATTAGGTTTTATTTTATTTTTTGTTTCAGTAATAATTTAAAACTCTGATTGTTGTCTTATGGTGGTGTTCTGTTGGTATGATTATATTATTTGAATAGTTTTGTGATAAATTTGGCAAGTTGCAGAAAAGTGAGCTGTAAATAGATGAACAAAGTAAGTGCATTCTTGGGAACTGATAAAATCTTTGGTATAAAGCAAGCAAATTGAAAATAAAATGGAAGTTCCATGTTCATAACAAACATTTTCTTCTAATGTGCCATCTGCAGATAGCTGAACCAAACAGAGTTAATAAACATCAGTGTTCAAATACTTATTTCCTACTGGCGCATGCAGTGAACGATGTATTTATCACCTCATACATACATACCCTTGCTCTTGTTTATAAAATGCATAATAAAAGCATGAAGACCTTACAAACATGAAATCCATTTAGAAATCATAAAGAAAATGGGCTTAATATTTAGGCTATTATTGTATATATTGTTTTTAAAAAGACCGTGGTAGCACAGTAGTTAGAATGCAGTTTTGAAGGCTAACTCTGGCCATAGCTAGGAGTTCAATCCTGACCAGCTCAAGGTTGACTCGG